ACAGCCCCCCCACCGCCCTCCCCGCCCCCCCGCCGCCATCCCGGCCCGACAGTGGCCCCCACGGCCCGTCAGCCACGCAGGACGGCACTTGCCAAACTGCTGAGCCGGCGCCGGTGGTGGGGAACGTGAGGAGCCGTACCCCCCCAGGGAACACTCATGCCTCTGGGAAGGCGGCCTGGCCCCATGCCTCCCACAGCAGGTATCCAAAAGCTGTGGCCAGTGTTTTTGCCCTAAATCCTTCAGTTCCCCCTTGTGAAACGGAGCTCGCAGTGCCGTCCTCCTTGGAGGGATGTTGGGGAGAGTCGTTAAAAGCCCAAGAAGCGCTTGACTGCCCCAGTGATGGAGGACGTAGGAAAGGCCATGAGAAAATGGTGCTCAGAGCAGGGTTGGACTAGCATGCAGCAAAGAAAACTTGGGGCCACATATGGAACCATGAATAAAAAACACAGAATAGCTGCTCAAAAAAAAAAAACTTGAATAAAATATTGGAAGAAAGCAGAAAATACTGAATAGTGGCTTCTAGCCAGCCAGCCAGGATGCTCATGGGCAAGGACTCACATTACCAAAAGAGCACAGGATCATACAATTAAGGGTTGCATTGTCCCAGAGACAGGCAGCAAACCCCACCGACACAGACAATGTTCGTGCTGGAGTTTCCCCACACCGGGTGCTGAGTTATCAGCTAGGGTGATCTGCCCATGCATGGATGCACCCATGGCCCCTCCTGGGGCAGAATGCCTGGGCTGGCAGGAGGGTACAGGGTAAATCCCACTACCTGCACTGGGGTGGCCCAGTACTGGGGTTGTCCCCAGGGAGCAGGCAGCTGTACAAGGGCAGGAAAATCACATTTTGGGGGTGCCACAAGACTGGTCGTTTTAGGGTTTGATGGGTTGGCTGCACCTCCTGCCCTTTCAGTGCAGGACCCTCTGTTTCGGGGCCGGGATTTGGCATGTCATATTCGGATCATGGCTTAGGGCTTTCTTCATGGGGATGGAGAGAAATGGGCGCTCCCGTAAGAGTGATCTTGTCCCCAAAGCAGGATCTACAATGGCTGATCCAACTGTAGATGGGATCTTCAAGGTCCTCCTAGGGCAATAAGGGGGAGCTGGATGCTGAATTAGGTGACAGATCATCTAAAAGTAGTGTCTGCAACCACACAGCCTCCATCGGAGCATCATATTGGTAATGCTGTGGCCCCCTCCACCCCGGCAGCCAGACCTCTGAATTTCACAGTAAAAAAATATCTGTCCAGGTGTTGGATCAGTGGCAGCAGTGGGACACAGGTCCACCACCAGCTCAGCAACTACAGCTTTTTGGGTGCCCTCCTAGTCTCCCAGCAGCAGGATCTCACCAGGCCAGCTCACAGCACCCTCCCAGGATGGGTTTGCCCCAAAATCTCAGCTTTGCTTCCAACAGCAGGTGGAAAGGGGGGACAGGGAGAATCCCATCTCAATTCCTCTGCCTGGCTGACGCCAGGAGCAGTTTTCCCAGCACACGTTGGCAAAGTCAGTTGGTCAAAAGTCAGAAGCTTTTGCCTGGATGCCAGGGCACTCCATGGGTCTGCCCTGGCTTGGTGAGCTGGGGTGAAGCAGAGATGTAGGGCTGCTCCCTTCCTGCCCCAGGCTGCCTCGTCCTGTCTGGGCAAAGACCTTTTGGGGATGCCACCATCTGTCTTTCTTACCCACACCAGGAGCTACCAGAGCACAGTGAGCAAGCTGGAGCCCACTGTGGCCACCAACCTGCAGCCACCTCATCCAGGTGGAGATGAGGGCAGGAGAGGGAGGAGGGAGTCAGCTGGCAAAGTCCCCATGCTTCTTGTGTACGAGGGTCACGCTGGGACACAGCACTTGGGAAAGTGGCTTTGTGCTGGCACCCAGGGGCCGTGCAGCTGGAACACTTAAAAACAAAAGCCAGCAAAATCCAGCCCGTGCTTGGCAGCCCATTTGGCTTAGTGGAAGTTATTTGAAGAGCTAGCCCAGCGCCAGAGCTGGCTCCGCTCCTCCATCCATCACAGGATGAGGATGGAGGGGAGCAGCGGAGCTGGGTTATGGCTCCCTTCTCCTTCCCACACCCTTGGGAACTCTCCGGAGACTCGTTTTTTGATCAGCAGCCCACATCCTTCTGCTGAGCGTCCTGTGCTCAAGGGAAACCTTCTCCCAACCTTGGATTTTACCATCCTGAGTAATCCGCCATTAAATAAGCATTTTATAAAAAGAGGCCAACACTCACCGTGTCCACACAGCAAGTTAAACAAGGAAGAGGTATTTCTTTGCGCATAGCGACCTCTCTGCCCATGCAATAACCCCAGCAGCTCATTGCAGCCGCAGCCCCCCTCCCTCAGCACAGGCTCAGTGGAAATTCCCTTACTGCCACATTTTAAGCATTTTACCAGCAAGGCTTTCAGACTCTGGGTGCTGCATTAAGTGCCTGCAGTTGTCTGCTTTTGTAATGGGCAGCACATTTAAGTCTTGCCGCTTACAAGCAATAAAATGCATTTACATAGCCCCCAGCTTTGCAGAGCAAGGCTGGGGTGAGCTGATATGCTGGGATGCCTCTTGCTCCTTCCTAGCAGCATCCTTGCCCTCCAGCTCACTGCTTCAGGGAGAAGAAAAGCTCTTCCTCGGTCCGTGCAGAGGAGCTGCTCCAATTTTTAATTGAATACAGACCACCCACTCCCATGCAGCCATGGGTATTGCTCCGAATCTCAGCTCAGTCTCCACACAGCGCGCTGAGGCCCTCTCCCTTGCACGCAAGACTGGCTTACCTGCCTCCCTCCAACTCTATGGGTCCCCCAAAACTTTAGCACTGCCCTTTCCAAATGATGATCCTCTCCACCAACAAATGCCATTGCAGAAAACCTAGTGGGGTGCTTCGTTATGGCTACCATTCAGCGCTTTTTCTTGATGGCTAAGGCAGCAACACCAGCCTGGTATTTCACTTTTTATTTGCATGACGTGCACAGGTTCAGCCCCACTTTGTTTTAGCTTTTCTCACAGGTCGGAGTCCTGCAGCGCAGTTGCTCATCCATGTTAGGCAATAACCAGGTGGCCACGGCAGTGTTTAGCTTCCAAGGAAGCTGTGGACAAAGAGGAGACAATGTTGCAGCTATAACCTCGGGAGCGTCAAGCACAAGGGGAGCTTCGTGCCTCTTACACACAGCTCTTCATCTAGCCCAATGTGACATTTGTGTTTTTCACAAGTGATGCTGTTGAGACATCTTTGCTTCAGGAAGCATCAGAAGCCCAGGTCATTCCTGCAGAGCCTGTTGCTCCCCCACCCATATTTATGCAGCTCTGTGTTGCAGTTAGCACCTACCTTTACCAAAAAAAAAAAAGGGCAATTTTCCAACCCTTCCTCCAACCTGCCACAATTCTTTCCCAATCCAGCTTCTGCCTTCCCGAGCACTCGGTGCTGCTCACAGCTTGACGCTGTCAGAAGCACAGGGGGCTCGCTCCCCCTTCCGCCACCTCTGCTGCTAGCAGAAACACCAAATTGGATCTGATGGGAAACTAAACCCCCCTGGACCCTCAAATTAATTACGCTTCACCAGGTGGGATAATCACAGAAATTAGTTTGAGGCTTTTTTTTTTTCTCTTGACCAGCACAGGCTGGACAGGGCCTGTTACCTGCTAAGTTTATCCCAAGGACTAGATGAGCATTTTAGGGCATAGTTCCCCAAACTCCTCTGTTTTGTTTTGTTTGGGGTTTTTTTTTGCTACTTAGAGGCACTATTTTGCAAGAGAAAGGATAGGAGCAAAATCCCACATGCCCTTGGTGCTCGTGAGTTGCTGGTACAGCTCCAAGACTTTATCAATGAACTCCCCTGTACCGGAGAAGGAGTTTCCTACGGGCACCCACCACTCTGCAACACCAGCGCACCTGCAGCTCTGGCTGCCAGCCGAGCGCAAGCCCATCTTCTTTAGCAACAAGAAGCGATGTGAGCACAAGGCATTTCTGCCTTCTCAGCATCCTCTCTAAATATCTTTAACCATCTCAAATGCAAATAAACAATTATAAATATTATCTTAAGTGACAGAGGCTGTTTACACCAACATGCTTGACTTTGCAGGTGGAGAGCGCTCGCAGAGGACAAAAGCAGCTCAGCAGAGGGGCAGTCCCACTGCCAAGGTGCTGCAACCCCCCTCTGCTCGATTTCACAGGCAACTCGCAATGTTTAGGGATGCAGCTAGACTCAAAGGGTGTCTGAGCACTCAACTAATTCACATTTCAGTACTGCAGATTCGCTAATAGAAAGTTGAAAGTGCATCCCAGCAGGGGAGACCTCGCCCCTTTCTCCCTACTGCTCTCGGCAGCAAAATCTGTTCCTTCACATTTAGTAGTTCTGGCATTCGATGCAAATCAAACCCAGCAGAGAACTAGTTTTTGCTTGCTCATTCCTTTGTTTCCCTCCTCTCTTCCTCCTTCCCAAACTCCCTTTTCCTCATATTCTCTCACCTTCATAAACCAGCAGAAAGCCAGGTCTGTTAAGCATTTTACTGCCTTGGTAGAAAATCTGCAAATCTACATTAGCAGAAAATCTTGCCACATCTCCTTGCAAACCAAGAACTAAATGAAATCCTACTGGGATGCTCTGGCTACCTCAGTGTAACAAGGTTCAGATTAAGCTGCTTGTTTTACTTGCTGTATTGCCTGGTTTTAATCCAGTTTGGTTCGGGACACTTAAAATAGATGCTTTTCTGCCCTCCAGGAAGCAGCAGGCACAGCCAGAGCCAAGGGATGCCCTGGCAGGTCCTACCTTGCATGCACACACATCAAGCTGTGCTCACTTCTTTGCTCATGCTTTTTTAGCACTACCTTTTGTCTTCTGCAACATTTTTTATTATATTTGTTGAAATCTCACCCCTGAGTCACTACAAACCAACAGCTAAAATGCAAGGGTAGATGCTATGGCAACGAAGTCCCCATGGTGCAGAGGGCAGGCACAGGCAGGGAGCTGGCTGCCTCCTGACTCTCCTCTGCCCAGGCTTTTGCTCACTCCGCAGATTACTGCAGCCTAGCACTGGATCATTCCTGTTAGAGGGACAGGTGGAGGACAGCCCTTCTCTGGAAGCCTGGAGAAAAATATTAAAAAATGCCTGCACACAGCTAAAAGCAAGGCCCCATCTGCAGGAACCACAGCGCTGCCCAGCTTTACCTATCGCCTCACATCAGACTTTACTACAGGGATTGCCAAGGGGCCGCCCTGCTCCATGATAACAAAATCTTCCCAGAGACAAGAGGCAGAAATAGCCACATAGTGGCTTATTGCCTAAACCACCAGTTAAACAGCTCAGCCTCTAATGACAGCTGCCCTGCATCGTGCAGAGACACTGATTCTTTCTTCCTTCCACCCCAGAATCTGCCCCTTTGACTCCAGACAGAGATGAGCAAATATTTAATTAACATATTTGACCTTTTATCAGCTTTCAATGCCAATGGCTTTCTGCACACAATTTAGGTGCTCTTTTCTGGAGCCTGCTGCAAACCTGGGACTAGGACAGTGTTATGAGGCTCTTCACATCTCAAATCTTTGAAAATTTTCTGAAATTCTGGATTTGAAAACTGAGAGAACATGAAAATGTCATCTTCCATCATTAAATAGCATTTAAGTTTGTACCTCTTATTCCTGTAGGGCAGCATAAAGTAGAAAACAAGTGCTACCTAGAAAATCAAAAGCTGAGAGGCCTTTTAATTCCTTTTCCTGGGTATGTTTAAAATTTTTCCAAATTTCTTGTGGGAAGAAGGGGTTGGAGTTGCCTGAGCATAAATGATGCCTCAAAATGGCTAAGAACAAGCAGCTCATTGCACTAAGTTACCAGAGAGCAGCCTGCTCCTTCTGATTTTAGCTGGCATTACCAGAGACCTTCTCACAATCTTACTCCTTCTACTAACCCTTTGTTCCTGATCATTGTTAAAAATGCCCAAAAGTCTCATGTCAGTGAGTTCATTTCCAATTAAGAGGACATCTCAGGCGCACAGCCTGACTTTGCTCAGTCCTTTCCTTTCCCTTCCCCTCACCTGGTCAGAGTAGCATGGTTCAGTGAGGACTCTTCATTCACTAAAAGTCTCCATTATTTCAGTCTGAAGCTCAGTGTGACTTGGGAATAATACAAAGCATGAGAAACCCTGCCTACATACAGGGATGCTTGTTTATGTTCACAAGAGATGCAATGTATATCACTGAGATATTTTTAAAGTACAGCAGCACCAGTTATATTTGATAACTATAAACGCTTTATTTTTACAGTATATAAAAATATAGGAACAAAATTCTATACAGAAAAATATAAAGTTAAGCAGAGATCTTCTCAATCTCATTTTTAAGAGGGAAGACAAATAGGATCATACTGTGCAAGCCCAAGACTTCAGAAAATAAAATTGTTCTGGCAGTTTAAGTTGTGGCCCACTCATTCCAAACAGGAGAGATGCTGCTTACCACATGAGGCAGAGGTGTGCCAAGGGATACATTTCCAGCACAGGGAACTGGTCTTGCTGCTTCCAGCATCCTTGCAAGTTTGCTTTCGTTAAACATAAAATGAAACCTAAGTCCTCTTCCATGATCTGACCTGGAGATAAAAGTTCTCACACTCCTCAGCGTATTTATGGTAAGGGTGCTAAGAGCCCACTGTACTTGGCCAGCACACATCCCCTGACCTGTGATCCCATGCAATGGGCTCAGATTTACATAAACCAGCAGGTCTGCAGCACACCTGCAATCAAATACAACTGGAAGCTGTCTGTGACCAGCCAGTGAGCTGGCAACTATGATTTAAGGAAGGCAAAAGGTCAGTGAAAGCAAGCTGATGAAATCCCTGAGTTTCCACCAGTTCCTCAAAGGGGAAAAAAAAAAACAACTAAAAAAAAGCAGCCAGCATTCTTTTCCAAGGTACTGTCCGTTTCAGTACATTGCTGTCTTTAAGGAAGGACAACATGCACATCAGCAGCCAACAGTAGAAGAATCATATCCTCTTTACCTGTACTTCTCTAGTTTCATTTTCCACAACCAAACTGTCCAAGTTTGCTTGCGGGTGAAGCAGGGAAGAAAAAGGGAGGGAAATGGGGGCAGATAATTAAGGAGTTACACTGTAAATTATATGCTCCTGGAAAAAAAAACACAAAAGAAAAAAAGGATCTCTCTAGATTTTCCAAGCCTGTTCTCTCCATGGCCAACAAAACAGGGTCTGTCCTCTGCCAACTGACCCTAGTCCTTCAAAAGAACATGGGAGTATGCCCCCTAAAGCAGTGACCTTGCTTTTACACTGAGTGTCAGCCATGCTAGCGAGGTGCCAATATTGCCACCTTTTCATCACCCAGTAATCACTGCAGGACTCCATGAGAAAGTGCAGTGGGAGTCTCAGGTCTTCAAGTTCCTCTTATTTTGTTGATTCGTAGAATTGATTTGCAACTCCCCGTGCTGTATTCACACTGGAAAAAAGTACAGCAACACATGCTGGAGACAGTCCAAGAATTATTGCTGTGCTGAGGCAGCTTGCGGAGTTTGACCGAAGAAAATTAACCAGAGAAGTAACGGCAGACCTAAAAAGGAAGATGGAGGAAGAAGGGAATTGCTCTAGGCACCAGCACATCCTGCCTACTGCCAGAAAGGTGCTGTAGTGGTTCCTGTCTCCTGTAAGCAGCATGTGGAGGGCAGCAGTCTGGGAGCGAGCAGTTGAGTAGGGTTTATCAGCAGCATATCTGGAAAGCCTCTCTGTGGCAGGCATGGGGACCACTCTCACTGCCACTTGTAGATCTTCACCGTCTTCTCAGTCAGAGTAGCCAGGAGGTGGGTTTGGTTCATTTCCAAGGGGCAGATATCCAGCACAGGCAGGTCAGCCTGCAGCTTCTGCAGCAAGGAGCCACTGCCAGCATCCCATAGCTGTGGGACAGACAAGCAAGGTCAAAGACTGCAGGATTCTCCCTTCCCATCCAAAACAGAGCTTCCTCTCTCTAGAGAAAACTTTCCTCAAGTTACTTACAGGATCCTTTCTCTACTTTCACACCCTGCTTGGATGGTCTTTCACAGACTCACAGCACAGTGTCACCCAGACTGCCTTCTCCTCTGACCTTGACTCATGAGCTCTCATGCAGCCTGTTGTCTGTCGATCCTCTGCCCCTGAGCTTGCTTTTTCACATAAGGGGCAACCCTTCTCCTTGTCATTCCTAAGGAGCCTGCGTCCATCCCTCACAGCACTTACCACATTAGCTGTCCCACCAAGATTGTTACGCCACTTACAGCGCCCAGTTGTGCCAGTATACCCAACTGCATTCCTCTGGTGGACAACAGGGACTTGCTGCTTACATTCCTTTCGATGGATGTCGACCACAGGCCTTGGCTAACACTGAGTGTCCCACGCTAACAGAAAGTTACACCTGCTCTAGCAAGTACAACAGACCAACCTGCACAGGGTAATGTCTGTGACAAAACAATTCCCACCAAAACACACTGATGCAGTGACTGGTAAGACTTCTTTCCTAAGAATTGCAATAAAACCCTCCATCACACTGAAAGGAATAAGAGATACCAGGGCAGAATTAGATGCCTCATCACCAGCACACACAAAGATGCTGCCATCCTCCTCCGGGCTTTGAAAAATGGCATTCTTGGTCAGCAACTTGCAGGTGGGCCCAGCACTGAAAGTCTGAACTGGGTTAGAAGAATACACCACATCTTCAGAGGCCTCTGTCAGTGGGCTGCAAGTCAGTTCCATCATCACACAACGCACACATGGGTTATTTTTACCTGCATGGCAGAAATAAAAAAGGTAACCTTTGGAAAATTTAATTGCAGGAAATTTTTAACTGTAGGAATACAAGCAACACCACCCTGCAGCTGCCTCCTTTTGCCCTTGCCCAATTCTTATTTATGTGCAGATGCTCATTGCTCTGGCTAGGGCAGGTACTACATTTCTGCTGTGCCCTCAGCACCAAAGTTGCTGTCAAACTCAAACAGCAAGCCAGAGTGGCAATGAAAAGCACGTTGCAGATGCACACCATTACATACTAGGCCTGTACGTCGCGAGGCAGTGCCGTGTGCTGATCTCTGTTTGAATATCGATGCATCCTCCAGGTTCCAGTGGCAGGTGATGAGGCCGGTAGGAGTTGCCAGTTTTCTGTTCCCAAAAGCAGGCTCCTTCCAAGGTCCCAGCTAATATTCCACCATAAGGCAGTGACGCTGAGGCCATCCGGGGCAGATAGGACAGCGATACCATGGGGCACCTGAAAGTGTGATTGGCAGCAGTCAGTGCTGCCAGATGCAGGTGTGCTGGCATTCTGCCTCATCGCTTCAGAGCTCCAGTCTCTCCAAACATGTTGCAAAGAAAGGGCCTAAGCAGGCTACAAAACGGTCCTTCAAGCAAGGAACCCCAATGGGTTTGTCAAGAATAAATGAAAATCAACTTAACTACTGAGCCTTATGTTTTAAAGGGGCATCAGACAGCACACATCAGATGTGTAAATCAGCATTTGATTCCCTGAGTAGAAGAGATGGAAGTACCAGCATCTCACACCTCTTCGTAATTTGTTCTTTCCAAATTAAATACTAAACCCAGCTCAAAACAAAGTCAGTTCCCCTGCTTAGGTTGGACTGGTGGGTCCAGTTCTGACTACTGTCTGCCTTAAAAAGACGCAGGTGCCAAGCACTCGTACTAAGTTATAAGGTTGCATGGTATGTGTATGAGAGACTTCTCGCATCTGTGCTAAATTTGAATTTTTTTACAAAACAGTCACATAAAAATTTAAACTATTACAATTGCTGTGTGATTTATGGAAGAAGCTATGTTTAGCATAATGTATATTAGTGAAGTTGAGAGGAATGAAAAATTCTTATGCCATACCTGGACTTCTGAGGGACTAGTTCCTGGACGTGAGAGTTCGTGTCTCTCAAATCATATATCATGATAGAGCCATTGACCAATCCAGCGTAGATGTAGTTTGTATCATCGAGACACCAGCAGCAGCTCCAGACAGGACGGCCAGCATTGTATGTCTGCACCACGGTATTTGTTGCCAAGCTGCAGAAGAAAAGCGAAGTGTTGGCCTGTTGCACAAGCATCTACTGATAAGAAAATAGCATAATTAAGGTAAGAAAATCCAGCTTTTTAGTCTTTAGACAGAAGCATCTCTCTTTAGACTGAATTCTGAATTAATTCCTCCTTTACTCCAGACATGAATCTGGAAAATCTAGACAGAATAATCACTTGAATGTTGTCAAGTGATTTATAATTCTTCCGGACCAATGCTTCTTTTTCCAGATTGATCTTTGGAGACTGGGAAAGGAAATCTCAGAGCAGGGTCTCAGCTGCCTTAATGGAAAGAGAAAGCTAAGTTACTTTTCTGGAAACAATTAGGAGAAGTGAATCCAGTGTAATCCCGTAATATTGCATATTCCTGAGATCACACAGCTCATCTCTTCAGATTACATCTCCTGTTAATTATCTCCCTCTTTTTACATGAGAGAAACAGTGCTTATGCTTCAAAAGAATCCAATTTAAGCAAGACAGTGAATGGGGTAAAGAGTTAAAAGCACATTTATAGTGTTAATTCTTTAGAAACTCAATTTGTGGAAGGAAGAAGAGGGGAGTACACAGAGGGGCGCAACCCAGAATAGCAGATGAAGTTGGTGGTAGATTAGAACGTATTTGCAAAGGGCAGCATTGTTGACATAGGCTCAGCACATTGAGAATAGTGGGAGACAGAAGACAGCACATATCAAAGTAACTCTGATATCCTTTACAACACATGGGTTCCTCCCTGGGGAAGGTGATTATGCTCAGAACTCCAGAGAAGTAAGCAATTGCTCCCAGGTAAGTACAAGGGGAACAACCACAAAGACAAACCTGACTGGGGAGACAGGGAATTTGATATCAGAACAGTGACTGGCTTAAAACAACAGGGAAAAAACAAAAAACCCAAAGTCATGGTGCTATTTTAAACACTTGCAAGCCAGAACAGCAGACTTACGGATATCTTGGATAATTCCTTTTGGTAGGATGACTCTGAAATCAGTAACTAGGGGAGAAAGACAACCAAAGGGGGACTTTTCTTTCAGAGAGAGCCTGAAAGCAGCATGAAGATGCTGCTGAAGCAAGCACCTAACTCCAAGGCATTGTGGGATCAAGCACAAAGGCAAGAGGATCACAAGTTCCAATGCAGCCAACCAGGCAGTGAGAGGCAGATATAGGAGTCGAGTGTCTGAGCAGATACTGCAATGAGAAGCCACTCTCCAGATCAAACCATGAAAAGAGTATCAACCTCATTGGTTAGAAGTCTGGCATGCTGACTTTAGCATCAGAGACAGTTTTGTTTACTTTTAACTAGCCTAGCAAACATTTCAACATGATAACAGGAAAGCAACATTCTTGACATTTTTGTTGCAGGATGAAGGTCTCTTCATTGCTTCACTCATGGGAAAGAATTGGGACTAATCAGTCATAACAGACATATCCTGCCTCACCCTATACTGATAGACAGATGTGGGTAAGGCATTAATATAACTCAAGAAGAATCAATCAGCCAATTAAGTTTTGAAGCAGCTTAAGGTTGAAGAGCATCAGAGCAGCAAGAGAACATGCGCATAGGCTGTAAATTCTAACAGGCCCAGACACATTTTTCTCAGCCCCTGCATAATTAGTCTCCAATCTGCTACTTTAAGCCTCTGCTAGCTCTAGAGAACCTCTGTTCCTCTAGCACATGCACAACAATGCTGTCTACACATTTCATATCCCAGATGAATTCCATGCTCTGCAAGAAGTTTAAAATCAGAGAAGCCAACATTAGTGCAGGGAAGAAAGCACCCAACTTAAACACCCCTCGTTTCTGTTTTAGGCCATACAAGTTCCCATGCTTCACATTTCCCTGCAGTAACAGAAAGCCAAGTGGACAGTAAATTTCCCGTCTATACATTATGCTATGTTTCTTCTCAACACAACTTGGCTGATACACGCCGAATTACTTCTTTTCCACCGAGTTCTCCACAGGAAAAATATCACAGACAAGTAGCTCCCTAACATCTCCACCTAAAAGATCCGAAAGCATGAACAAGTCTTTCCCTCTGTTAGTTCCCACATGCAGGAAGAATATGCAGACCTGATGTCATCTTGGCAACATCTTTTGGAAAGCAGAATAGCAAGCGCTGCAAGACATTTCTAGAGACAGAACAAAATCCAATCCATTCTCTTGCACATAGCAAAACTCCGCTGGGACAGGTTGCTCCCCCCAGCAGGGCTCACCTGGTAAGTTTGAGAGTGTTGTCCACAGCAGCAGAGAGCAGCAAGCCATCTGCTCGACTGCCGAAAGCCAGTCCCCGAATCTGTTTACTATGGATGGGGATGTACTGACTGCTCTTCAGGTTGGCCACGCTCATCATCTTAACACCACAACCTGTCACAGAAGAAGGATAAAGCAGGTTACCGCAAAGCAGCATATGTGTAGAACTAGCAATTCTATGCCAGAACTACAATGTCTGTACTGAAGCCTGTGGTGGGATGAACACGTAGAATTTATCTGCTGTTCTGGTTAAGAACTGCCACAAATGGCAACAGGGCTAAATCTTAAGGATCCCAGCCAGCAAGAGCAAACTCAGTATCAGCGTTACAGTTCTTGTTACAAGAGCCATTCTTGCCTAGATAAAAACACACACACAGTAGGATTACATGGCTATTTAAGAGAACAAGCGTCACTGCAAAGAATGGCTACAGGTGAACTTAACCTGTGTGCTACAGGAGCCACCACAAAGCCTCCATTCAGAGATTCGTCCCCTGGCTCCAAAAGCCAGAAAAATAAAGGTCAGTTGAATGCAGAAAACGATTTTGTTATGCCTAGATAAGGCATATTAATCTCCAAACCATTAACCAAATAAAGTAAGTTTCATCATTCAGAAAGCATTGAAGTACTTTGCAAATAAACTCTCTCAAACTCCTAATGCTACATCTATCTCATCGAAAAAGCAAGCTGGCGCCAGTCCAGATGTCAGGTCACTTGCCCCTGGCCATAACAGTGAGACAAAAACCAGGGCTGCTCATGGCTTCTTGGCTTTCTATTTCTTCACTAGGAAACAGTGCTCCTATCATTCATATTAAAAGTTTTTTCCTTTTGGGTTTTCTTTTTTTTAAAGAGTATTGACAAATCAGCTGCATGTGGATCAATCGACCTACAATTTGGGGAGCAATGTTTCTCACTCAAGCACTGGAAACATCTCTGCAGGCCCTAGCACACTGACCCCTTGTTCTCTCAAAAGACCCACCTTTGCAAGGAGTACCAGACACACCTTTTACCTTCTTGTGGATATGGCACTTCAGCAGAAGAGCCAGAGACCCTCTGCGAGGATTCTGCCATAGAAGTGACAGGGGAAACAAGCTACCTCACTAGGCAAGAGCTGCCAATGCAGGGGCCAGATGAACTACAGCAAGTCTTATGAGTATTCCCAGTTTACAAGGCACATGCAAAGGTCAAGCAGAGAAGCAGGGATCAAGTAGAAAACATATTTAACTTTCACCTATGAACCCCCAAATCTTGATTTGCTTAATTACCAGGAATAAAAGTGGACTGTGGAGAAGGCTGTGATACCACAAGACAACTGAGTGAGTCACAGTATGCCATTACTCTGCAGTTCCCAGTCTGAGACACCACAAAAACCTTCTCCAAGTGGTACTTGCGCTGGCTTTGGCTGGAGGGGAGGCTGCCTGGGATGCAGGTACGGGAGCTGCCAGGTTGCTGAGAAGCACTCATATTGTGCTGGGCCACCAGAGCCTTCAGTTCCTGCAGAGAAAAAAAAAAACCAAACAAAACCCAAAGAGCTTTAATGCATCACTGGCGATGTAACCTTCTGTGATATCTGTTCCCAAAGTTCCAACTGTACTTGTTCTCAGATAAAGAGGGAAAATATGGTCCCGTTTCCACGCTGTTCCTGAAATGCTGGATTTCCAAGTGCACTGACTATGAGAGTGAGCAACAAAAAATGTACAAATGCTACACAAATTCTGGCAGAATGGACTCAAAGTCTGCTATTGTATGTATTAGACTCCATGAAAGAGAGGACTCTTGGGCAACGCATAAAAGCCAATAACAATTACTAGCAGATCAATGCTGTTTAGAAGAGAATGAACTGCCAAGTATTACATGCAGCTAAGCCACAAGAGAAAGTCAATTAAAACCATTTTCTAGAACTTCCAGAATACCCCATAAAAAAAATAAAAGCCCAAGTTTCAACATAAAGGGCGTTGCAGGAAACAAGTCAGTCTATTTAATGAAGATGACCCTATTCTTGTAAACCCCAGGCAGCAAATTCCAGGAACAACACAACTCTCAAGAGCTCCAGCCCTGTTTTCCACCACCTCCCCCCACCCCTTCCTCCACCTCAACTGATGAATGCTCAAGGATGCTCAGCAGAGATGCAGCCAAGGACAGCTTCCATCAGCAACAAGGTATTCCTAGAATTCCTCTTTCCACAGAGATCATCAGGAGTGAGGTGGGTATGCAAGTAGTGGCACTGGCATATTGCAAGTCAACTAAAAATGCCCCCCCCCCAAAAAACATTTTGACCACCTTATTGTAATCCAAGGGCAAAACCAGACAGTACAGAACCCCAGGGATATTAGAGGGAGCATATATACTAAAATTGCTACTTGCTTTCTGTTGTCTGAGCAACATAGATTGTGCTTCAAATACTGTGTAATTTTTAAACAATTAAGGGCCGCAAGAGTGATATTATGAATATATTAGCAGATTGCAAGCTAGCTTCAATATTGAACCAGCCACTACCACTTAACTCACATCTAAGCAAAGGCAGCAGTTCTCAAAGAGACAAGATCAAAGATCAAGCTCTACATTAATAGTTTCATCAAGACCTGTAACTTTTGGAAACTGCTCAAGAAGAGAGCAATTCTGATATTTTACAGATGTCTGATCTGTTTTGCATCAAGTACATTGCAGATTCCCCAAGGGAATAATAATAATAATAAAAAAAAAAGTAAGCTGAAGACTCAAGAGGATCCCATTAGAGGAAACAAAGACAAAACAACCTGGGAACGAAGAGGAGGTGTGGGCATTGCCAGGTCACTTACGATGGAAGCTATAGCTTTGGGCTTAGAGTAAGCAGTCAGTGAAAACACAGGTAACTTAGAAGAAAGTGGGTTTTAATCAAAAATTTAATAAACTCTTTATTTCTAAAAGGCAGGAAGATATCACCACCACTGAGGATCAGAAGAGATTAAAATTACTTGTTGCTCTGGGGAGTTTACAAAACTCTCCTTGTCACCTGCACTCAACATTCAACTTTTACAGGAGTTACTAAAAAGGAAATCAGGCAATTAAAACTACAAGGACCATTAGTACAATATTTACATTTAAACACAATGGACAAACCCAGCAAAATCAGGAAGTCTTACTGGAGACACATTACCAAGGCAATTAAAAATGTTGCACCACAGAACAAATTGCACTAATTGTGTTCAAAAGAACACTGTTGTAGTAATGTAAGCCTAAACCTTCCTTTGAGATGTTTTGCAGACTTTTCCTGATGCCTGGTGTTAAATAAGGGCCTTGAGGGCATACTTGCCTCTCTGCACACGCCATGACTGCCTCCTAGATTTCACCTTGCCATTGCAGTGATGAATGAACACAGTCACGCAGGTTGGGGAAAGAAGAGGATATACAGCAGAAGTCTTCCTGAGGATTAAACATGAGAAGTAGAAGCAGGAGAGCACAATGAATAGGAAAGGAAACCCACCAGCTATAACAAATTCAGAAGTTTTCTTTTGAGTATTAGGTTACAGTCTTAATAGCTGATAGGAGGCTTTAAAGACAAAGGCAGTTACTGGATGACTGTCACTCTCTGGCAGTGCTCCCACAGAGCTCTTACAGAAGCCATGCCTGCTATCTTGCACTACACAGCCCCAGCCTTGCATTTAATAGAGATAAACACATGGCTGTACAACCTCAAACTGCGGTCCAGGACTACAGGCATTCCACCTTCCACCTCCCTTTGGTTCAGGTTCCAATTCAGTCAAAGGGACACAGAGCATTTTCAAGTGGCTTCACTATAAGTAAAGAGCTGAATGAAATAGCAGCTTTTACTTTTAGATTTTCCCCCAGACATAAACTGGAGCTGAACACAAAGATGAAAGATATTTATGCAATAAAATCATTAGCCTAAAATTTTTCTAAAGGTGTTAGGTTCACAAATTTTTACTGATATTTTGCCATCCAATTCTTTTTGGATGCTCTGAAAATTCTACTTAAAAAAACCTCTGCCAATACATCGAGCAATATAAACTGACCTCTGCAAGGCCTACAGTTACACTTGCTGTCTTCTCCACAGCAGCATGCAATCTCCTGTCATTTCCCTGCCATTCCTCCCTTTACTGCTCTATACACAAAGCTACTGTTTCCCACTTACAAAAATGAATCTCCTATCCCAGTTGATCAGTGGTATTAATGCCAGAAGCCAGAGATGGTTTGCTTATCATTAGCTAACTTGTACTGAAAATTTTGGCAGATTCAGGAGGAGTACTGCAGTAGCTCACATCTGATTCCCAAGTTCTTTGTGCTCACAAGGGAAAAACTTTAGGCAAAAGTAAGGCTTCAGCAGCACTGCTTCCAAAATGCAAGTCTGAACCTGCCATGCAGTGTGCAGCATATAGCTCAGCAGAGCACACACTGCAGGTTTACGTATAGAAACACCATTGAGAGCTTTCTTCCAGGGTTTTAGTTAACTACCTACCCTCTCTCCCCTCAAGTTCCTTTCCTCATGTATTTTCACATAGCTAAAGACTTGAAAACCATCCATTTTCTAGCCTCAATCATCTTCAATACTTCAATACCAAAAGTACAATGGACAAGACTGTTAATGGACAAGAGCAGGGAAAAATGCACACAAACCTAAAAAAGGTCATAACTAGTGACATGACTGCTGATGAGGCACAGCTCTCAAGCACATTAGCAACAAAAAAGGGGTCACACAATGACTTTTGCAGGGAACCATTTGCTTTCTATAAGACTTCAGACACCAAGGTTTGTGTGCAACCAATTAACATCATAACTATTCCAATAAAGTTCTGTGCAACTGAACTTTGCCATACCAAATGTCCCTCTGATTACATGGACATTTCACACACTTCTTTTGTAATCCCACAGCACTTTGTTTTCTATATTGACTTATAGCTTTGTATGCCAGTTAAGCATGTTTTCTTTTGCCATCAGTAACATTGCTTGCTGAAAGGACTGGGGCAACAGACTCAAGATGCAACAAGTCAAATTCAGATTAGATGTTAGGAAAAAAAAAAAATTCTCAGTGAGGATGGTCAAACAATGGGATGTCCAGAGAGGATGTGTGATCTGCTTGCATAAACTCAACACCTGGCGTGACAGTGCCCTGAGCAACCCAACCCTGAAGTTACCCAACTAGGATTGGGCTAGAAACCTCCAGGGGTCCCTTCCAACCTAAACAATTCCATGCAAGTAGTTGCTTTACTAGATGACCTCTCGTAAGACAAGGAAAACTCGTTAGGCGCATGCTCAAAATATAATCAAACAACTTAGAGACTTACTCCAGGCTTCCTACTGATTTTCTGCTCCCCAGCAAATTGTTTTACTCTCCGTTTATTCATAGTATAAACAAGCACCTCGAAATTGCTTCCAGCATTCTCATTAACCACTACAGGACAGTGATGAATGCAGTATAAATACTCAAACAGAGCTTAAAGAACACAGGGTACTTAATCTTTATAACACACGACTTCCATTCAGTTAGACTGGATACTCTATCACTTAACACCAAAAGAATTGCAGGAGGACATTATGGACCTGCAGTTTTATCTTATTCACATTTTTCTTAAGCCAAAGTTTGAAGTGGACCAATTTTCTTATTAGCTCTGATGAGGACACAGCTTCATGCAGGAATTTAGGCAAGCAATTTGAAAAGCCTTATGTCACACAGGAAGACTTCAGCGAAGAGGATGTTGCTTAATGTACAGACATGAATAGCCAAGGCTATAAAAACTCCAGAAGTAGAGAAAAGCACAAAATTGAGTTAACTAGACAGTGAAAGATTACATGTCATCTATTTCATACAACAAAAAACTAGCAAGCTAGCTTTGCAACAGGCTCTTGGAAAACCTAGCACTGGTGGAACATGCCAGATAATTCAGTTGGAAGCAGCAGTGGAGTCCACAATTTATAGGAATCCTGCAAAAGCAGCTGTGATTGGTTACAAAATATAGCAGTATTGCATAAGCCAGAAAGGAAGCAGTCATTTATTTTCAGTAATTTGTATTCTAAGGGACAGAGGTGCCTCTTAGCAGCTGTTCAGCCCACGCATACAGCCTACCTTATTGACAGACCAGGTCTCATGGTATCAGAAGATGCTTTAGTATGTTGACTGACCTTCACAAAAAAATCAGGGCTTTTTTTGTTGTTTTCTTTTGTTTTTGCAAATAGCCATACCTCTTCACAAACTGCTTCTCAAAGGCTCTTGACTAACTAGTGATAATAGGTCCCATTACAGGTTTACTGTAGAGATTTCCAAAGCTTATTTTGATGCAGCTAAGAGAAAGATGAGAATTATTAAGTTTGGTGCTTATTACCAGGCCTTTCCAGGCACCACAAAACCTGAGGAGGAACCTGCAACATCAGCAGCCAAAAAACTCTAATGCTAAGCTGTACTTGCGACTTTGATTAAATCTTAGAAGCATGCAACAACAACAAAAAAAAATTAAAAAAAATGTCAGTGTTCTGTAGTTCATGTTATACATGAATATGCCAGCCTGGGCTGTTTAGGATGCTCCTGGTGATTCACCAGTTGAGTTTACTAAATCTTGCTGCTTATTAAAACTGGAATCCTGTTTTCTCTCCTCTCAGGGAACATGCAAAAGACAGGTTGAAGAGAAAGGGAATCCTCTGTGTGTTAGTAGCACGAGACTCACCTGAACTTGCTTGCGGAGTTTGCTGCATTCGTCTGTCAAAACCTGCAACTGGAGACGGCTCTGTGCAGATTCCAGCTCTGCCTGCCTCCGCAACTTTTGCTCCTTTGCTAAAGAGCTGGAGGAACAAGAGAAAATACCTAGTCTTAAGGGTTGCTTATCTAGGATGCTTCTCTGGGCTGTCAACTCCCATCCTCAGACTTCATCCCAACACAAGTCCTGTTCAGGTAAATTCAAAAGTAACGGAAAATCTGCTACCACAGTCATCCAGTACATTCACCTCGAGATGTTCTCAATTATGCAATGGTACTGAATGACTCACTCAAGTATTGTTTCACAGAAACAACAGCCTTTCTCCTCACCCTCTCCAAACGTACTGATTTAGTAGAGTGAAAGAGAAATAATTTTTTCCCTACAGAAACAGTTTAGCAAATTCTATACCATCAATATCCACGTAATATACCATGTCAGTAATACAGCAAGTCATAACACAGCAAGATCTTCAAGCTTGTTTCTACTACCAGTAACTAATTTTGTATTTCGGGAAGACATAGCTGTATCAGAAATAGACAGATACAGATAAACTCTCTGTGCATACCCATATAGAAGCCATACTTGCTACCTCACCTTGAGCCTAAAAGTGCATACATACCATTTAGTGGCAACAGTTTTGATAACACACTTCCATTTCTCTTCCATATGGGCTTTACATATGAAGGAATAGTTAAAGAGGGGGAAGAAATACCAGTATTCCTTAAAATTATCTGTAAATTTGGTCTATAGTGTTGACCACTGCATTCTGCACTTCAAAAGCTGCAATATTCCAGTTATTTCAGTAGTTCATGTGCAGGGAGATTTAGCTTGCCTAAGTACCTTCTAAATATACAGACCTAGCCTTGCATGTTCACGAAGCACAGAATTCTGTCATTATAGCTTCACTATAATTCTGTCATTATAGCTTCACTCTGTCACTATAGCTTCTTCACGTGATTTTTTTTTCTTTGCTGCAGAAGAAACAGGTGAAATGCTGTATTTAACCATTGCAAGCACATTCTTTACACAAGTACCCAGAGCCTGAAGACTGGCTTTTCTGAATGTGAAGAATGAAACCCATGATTGTACACCTAATTCAAGGCTATGTGCAAACAATATTGATGCATGCATCAGTGCTCACATTTGTCCTCCACTCATGGCTGTGTGCCACAAAACAGCCACTGCCAGCAACTTCACTGGACTGACAGGGAGTCACTGCTGTCTGCCTCCCAACAAAAACAGGAGGCAGAGGTGGTGTAGGGCAAGTGGGAAAGGTCTGCAGCAAGATCCTGAGACACAAGCAGTGGTTAGACAACTACCTCTCCATGAAAGATAACAAGATTTAAACACCCAAATGCCTTCTGTGCTTTTGAAAAAATCTTACTTATTGTTTGTTTTGCAGTGTCAATCCAGTAAAAGAAGCATGACCCTTCTAAAGGTACAGTTCAGACACCATCAGGCAGTGGCAATCTGGACAGAAGAGATATTTTCCCTTCGTGACAGTTACTCCTCAATCATTTCTGATTAGTAATGACCAGGATAGTGAGGTATCTGTTGAAAGACTGCACTGAAAGAACAGCAGTATAGTTAGAGACATGTGAAGACGACCCCAATTAAATTCTATTCACTACAAGATTCAGGAGAACTTGGATATCTGCAGCCCTTTAGTTTCAGAGTAGTATCTGTGACAGCATCTTAATGAAAAGAAATTAGTCCCCATTTTCATACCTGCTTTTCCTTTTTCCAATAAAAAGTCTACATTTAAGGTGAAGGGGGAAGTTGAGTCATAGTAATGCTTGCTGACCTCTTGTAAGTAAAGCTACATGAAGAATTTGACAAAGCAAGATGGAAAGTGATTCATATAAGAGATTACTCTGTCTAATGCATGCAGAAAAGATGGCAGAAAAGGTCAGCTATTCACCCCCCTTGCATTTCTAACTATGCCTCACTTTTTTCATCTAATGATGAATTACCAATATATGGCTTTTTGGCAACAACCCTGCATGTTCTCCCATGATGACATTTGAGAGTACAGCACAAGACAGCTTTTGCTACTTCAGTGCCGCAAAGCACAGACTCAAGAATTCTGTTCCAAGAGAAAATTGTCCTTCCAGGTAAGACATGTGCAACCTAGCAAGGCCGTGGTTTGTTAAGCCAGCCATACCATGATAATCCCCAAAGGAATGCACAAATTGCTTTAGACAATACAGGAAATTAAAGCAAGAAGTAGAAGCCAGACTGCAGCTTTCAATGGCATGCAGTCAGTGAGGTTGTATATTTATATAGAGACTCCGTACCTTTTCATGCGTTCCTGTTCGCTGGTGTCCAGAGCTTTCAAAGTGCGAGCATACAGGATCACAATGTCAGAACGTTTTGCCTTCTTATTGCACTGAAATAAAAGACAAGTTCAGTTCATCTACAAGAATTTAACTATCCAAACTATTGATGCCTACAAGTTGCAGGGTATTATTTTGAAAAATCCTTATAGCTTTGAAGGGAGGGGTTGTCTACTTGAAAACAAATCCACAAAACCATAAACATTAACACAGCATGTTTGCAAGACATTCCCTCATATAGACACCAGAACTCTAATTGGGGCTACAACAACAGTTTAGGTTGTGTACCATATTGCACCTTTAACAATGCATCTCCTTGCTTTCCACTAAATTTACTCTGCTAAAGCATCAGTGATACAGCATGGTCAGGTAAGTTCCAGGGACAGGAAAAAAAAAGTCAAAGAGGGGGAAAAAAGATCTAAAACAAAACACCAGCCCAACCTCTATTTTTAAAAATCAAGACTAGCTGCTTGGCCAACAGACAAGGATTTAGGAACCCCTGAGTATACTCCCAACTCTGTTATTTACATACTATATTCCTTTAATCAAATCCTATAGGCCTAAATCCATAATAGCATTCCAGTGTCTGTATGAAACACTGACATCCCACTGATTTCAGTGATACATGGGGAGTCAGATATTTCAATAATTTTGTGCATTACTAAATGGCTGTGACCATTTAGTACTTTAGAGTCACCTTAAAAAGAAGAGGTAATGCCTCCCCCTGAGTTGGGACTTGGAAGAAGTTACGGCATCTGCAAGCTTACTGTTTTGCAAATGTACTTTGTTGATCAGAAAAGAGGCAGTGAATACTCAGATCAAGTAACGTCTGCTGAACATTAAATTACTATGTGCGCTTAAAATGCAGACTTCTCTATTATTTAGTAGCACAAAGATATCACGGGCAACAGTTTCAGATCAGACAACCCCCCTCCCTTTGTAAAGAGCTGCCTTGCAGAGCAGTAAGTGGCTAAGCTTTCCTGGCAACCAGCAGCTGTCACTGGCAGGATCAGGAGTGGTGCAATTTCACAGTAACTTGCACTCAAGCCACTTAGTATACAGAGCACCACACACAGCAGCTCTGTGCTATTCAATCAGAGAATGCCCAGTCGCAAAGGAGAGCAACTGAAAACGAAGGTAAGATGATTTAGCACCAAGGTTCTCTCCAGAGCAAGTTTTCCCAGGAAATTTTCAGTAATTACATCACTGGAAGAAAAATGGGGAGCAAAGACCCCCTTAAGAGTTGTTAGGGTCCAAGAAGAACGCAGTCACAAAATTCCAAAGAGCAAAGATGCCAGGTACATCTCCAAGAATTCCATTTGGGCCTGGAGTAGCTGAAGAAAAGCTTATGCAGACTTGACAGGGATAAGAAAAATAAGGTTTGGGCCTTTGCTGTGGCAACAGTGATTCTTTAGGTTTAATCACAGTGCACATCAACAGGAAGTTGCTTGTTGAGAGCAAGGAATCCTGCACAAAGTCAAGCAAGACTATGGAAGCTCTCAAAATGACAAAACCAAAGAAATCCTGGGCTTCCAGCCACCAACTCAGAAAGCAGCAGAACTGAATCCTTTTTACAACATACTCGTTGACCTGTTTTTTCTCAACATTCCTTTCTGGAGAAAAGGAATAAGGAATGGAAGCACATCACAGAGAAGTGTAGACCTAATTGAAAGAGATCAATATTACCCATGGAAAGAAAACCAAATAGAACACCTTAAAAAGCAGATCTACCACTTGCAAATGGACATTAAAGGATGCAACTTGTTTCTCAGTTTGCTCTCTGCAAGCTACCTCAACAGCTTGATCTGCTTAAAGGCTGCAAAAGCAGATGCAGTTCAAAACAGAAGATTAACTGACAGAAAACAGTTCTCAAACAGATTTCTTGTCCAGTAACGTATTCTTTATGCTTAGTTAATTGCTTCTAGGAATCTGTCTGCCATTCCCACACTCCAGGACCACAGAGCAGTGTTCTGAAACCAATTACGGGTTTAGCACTTGAACTCTCAAACTTCTCAGTCTGCTATTCACAAATGCTCTACTAAAGGGAGAAAATCCAAGTCAGACTTCTCCCTTTAAAGCAGTGCTAGTTGTTCCTGGCCTAGTCACATCAAAATAAAGGTGATTTTTGTTATTTCTGACAGCAGGCAAAGGTGGATCCTTTACGCAGTTGTAACAGTTACAGTGATCATGCCTGCAGCAGAAGTTACCCAACAGCAAGTCCTTTCCAGGGCACATAAATGTCCATTTTACCTGGGGGCACTTCCCTGCTTGTCCCTTGAGCCACCTTTCAATGCATGTGTAACCAAATAGGTGTCCACACCGCAATGCTGAGAGACGGTGGTCCCCAGCATTGGTCCACTGCTCAAAGCAGATTGCACAAGTATCCCCTTCCTCCTCATCCAGTGGTGCAACAGGAACTGATGGTTCCAGTTTCTTTAGTGGAGTTCTCTAGGATTAAAAATAAAAAAAAACCACACAACTTTTTTTAGACAAATGCAGCACTGACCATATTTAAATCTGCCTCCAAAAGCATTTAGGTCACCTTACCTGCTTTTGCTGGACTTCAGCCTCTTCATCTTCATGACCTCCATGTTCTGTAGAAGCTTGAGATGAAGCTTGAGACAGCTCTGCTTGGACCTGAGTGGAAACTAAAGAAAGCATTGCTTAGATGAACTGATACATAATGGGGGAAAAACAAGTTCTCCTTGACTTGATCTGAAATCATCAGGGCATAAGGCAAGCAGTGCAACAATGGCACAGGTTACGTACAAAGCTTCAGATCAGTGTCCTGGATACTGAAGGTCAGGCAGTCTGTGTGTAAGCCCTTCTATTCATCAACAGCAGTGCTGAAGAACTTTGTGTTTTCTTTTATAAAAAGGAGCAGAATTTCAGTGAAAAAGGAGAGGTCTTTTAAAGAAAGCAATTGTTGTCAGGATTTTCTGACTTGCTGGAAACAAATACATCTGCGTACAGGTCTATAGTTAGGCTGATGCAAGGATAGAACCCTGCATCATTATGCCCACAGAAAGACAGACACCAATAAGAAGTAGTTATTTTGCCAAGGGATCTAAGCATGCATATTTCATGTGCCAAGAAAGCATTTACCGTATGCTATCTGTCCATTCACCCTGACTTAAGCAGTTTTCCAGCTAGTAGTTATCTGAACTATCAATTCTGCTGGGCCATATGTTTTCATGGTGGGCCTCTGTTAGCCCTTCTGTTGAAGCACGGGCACACGGAAACACTACATTTGGATTACCACCACTAGCATACTAAAAAAGAAGCAGAAATAGCTGTCTCCCCCCATCTCCTGACAAAACAAAAGAGTTGTTAGGCACATTTAGCATTCAAGGCAGACACTCTCAATCCAGTAGAGAGGTATCACCTAACCCTGGCTAATGCCAATAAAGTTTTCAGCCCTTATGGTTCTGGGCTGAACAGGAACCTGTGGCTTATATAAGCCAAAAGCACAAGGGAATTCCAGAAAACCCTACGGAGAGCATATGTTCACACAGTATTAGACAGCACTTAACAGCTTGAGTTCCTGTCACGTGTAAGACTAGCTCAGAGCAAGTCGAATGAATCTGTTCAAAAAACACCTCATAGATGTACCTCAAAAAAAGGTGTCAAGGTAGACTGGCCAATCAAAAACAAAACTAAGGGCAGAGAGTGAAGCATAAGGACATTCCTTAGAGACTGAATAAAAAAAAACAAACAGAAAAAAAAACAACAAAAAAACCCCACCCTTGTCCTCATATTCTCTGGGCATCAATAACCTTGACTAGCAAGTTAACTATTTGTCACTCTTACATAAACTGCATATGTTCATCATAAACAATGTCACTGAAGTGCATGGCAGCCTGTGAACATGAGTTTGGATAAAGGATTGTGAACCAGAAAAAGCCAAGGAAAGAAAAAGACAAACAAAAAGTCCACTGTCCTAAGTACCTCTACCTCCTCAGCTAAGTGTCACCAGAAGTTACAGAAATGAAAACTTTAAACTGAAGCAGACTGAAATCGCAAATCATTAAAAAATACTGAATCAGATCCTTCTCTGAAAACTGAAAGCACTGCTGATCTCCAGAGATGTGACTTGATGTCTTCAATAATGCTCCTTTATAATATATAACAGCAGAAGTGCACTAAGTACTAATCTCTAAGCTTGAAGTTATTCCTAACATTTCCAGGATTACTTATAAGCAGCACCCTGCAAATAGCAAAAAGACTGCATTTAACTTTATGGTAGCAATCACCCATTGCTGCTACTGCTCTTAGGAACGGCTTGCCAGAAAGCCTTGCAGGAGCAACCTGCTCCCGTCAGCTGTGGGCATAATGATCTCTTAGCACCATCTGTTGTGAAGCTCGAAAGGATTTCCCCCACTGAGTTTTGAAACAGGAAGATGAGTTTCTGAAATCAGTCTCCACACAGCTCAAATATAGCACAAACCTGAGCTAGCTGCTGGAAGTGTCTCCTGGGCTGATGGTAACAGGGGTGCTGCAGCCTCCACTGTGTCCTCCTCCTCAGCAGAAGTGCTGCTGTCAGAGTCACTCAGTTCTATTGTTACATCTGAGCTGTGTTCCTGGTTGTCCCTTGCAATATGCGAGGACTCCAGACGTGGAACTGGTCTTGTAGCTGGCTGTTGGGTCCTGCTGAGTTGAAAGTAACTGTCCAATGCTGACCTGAGTCCAGAAAAGCAAGAAATAAAAGCCAGTTATTTCAGATAAGCTAAAGGCTCAGCATGTTTCTCCACACTTGTTTGCGGTAAAATTCCAAAGCTCTGACTCCAATAGGAAGGTATCAAAGTTATCAGGACACACTTTGTCTAGTAGAGGGGCAATCCCATACAATTGCCTGCTTTATGAACAATCAGTGGTATCCTACAGCAACCATTCATTTTGCTCAGCTCAAAGAAAATCTCCTTCTCCTTACAACAATGATATTGTCTTCTTTTGGGGTGGGGGGGTGGGGGGGTTGGAAAGAAAAGCGAAGACAACAGTATCGTTCACTAACAGCCTAAGGAACTCCTAACCTGTACTTACAGTCTTAACTCAGATCTGGTTCACAAAGCCACTGGTAATACTAGACACACAAGGCCTGTATCAGAGTCTCATTCCATTGACCACTTTGCACCTAGTCTTTCTACTTTCTCTCTTCTTTTCTACTGGAACTTCATTCCTGGCTAGAAACATCCTCCCCTCTCCCCGCATCAGTTCAGCTATCATCTCAATTATCCTTCAGATTCAAAAGAGAAGTATGTCAGGTTGCCTTCTAGCCCTGAGAACTCCAGTGACCTTCACACATAATCCAAGGGCAAATAGTACAGCTACATTTAATCATCTGGGAGGAGAGGAGTTCTTGGTCTCACTGAATTTAAAGGCAATGCTCCAGTTAATTAAAATTTCAACCTTGGCATTTACAAAAGCTACAAAGATGAGACAACAAACAAACCAGAAATGGGGATTGCTTTCTCGCTGGAGAGCATCACCCTTTAAACTCATGGCAAATGGTGTAAAACATAGAATTTTTACTTTCTTTGCCTGGAGGTAACAAAAAACGCCTACAGAAAAATATTAGTTTGCATGTTTGTGAAAGTTTCTGCAGCAATTGTCACCAGAAAACCTAATCAGGCAATCCCCAAATCAAAGGTGAAATGCAAAACAGAGCACAAGCTCCACTGAGCTAAATGCTGGCTGGAACTACCGAGAGTCAACACTGCTGCAGGGAGCACCAACAGAAATCTGGCGGAGCGGAGGGAACAGTGCAAGCAGCTCTGCAAGCAAGGTGGAAAGCGTAGAAGGGCTCGGAAGTCAACACCACCACTACCAAGATAAGAAATGGACGGATTCATTTAACAAGAGCAAAGATCCTGCCAGAAGGGGTCAGAGAGCACTGTGCCATTATTGAGCTTAAAAGGTATGTGAGCTGCCCAGAATTGGGCCACAACCTGGACTGAGCTGGGTTCTATAAGCCAGGAAGCAAGGCAGTTTTAAAACGATGCCAGACTTCATAAGAGCACTGTTTAGATCCAAGTTCATTGCTGCTTTACCTGGCACTGATTGTCCTCTGGGAACCACCAATTCTCTGTTGCCTGTGAGCTCTCCTCACTCGCGGACGCTGCGTGACCTGTGGCATGTGAAATGGCCGATATGGATCAAGTGCCCCTTGTAGCCTTTGCAGTCCGTTGAGAGCTGCAGCAGGACCCAACTGCGGGTCAGGCTCAGCAACTGCTTCCCTCGTTGTACCAGCGTTTGGTATGACAACAGCATCATCAGCAGGAAGAACTGTAACACTGCCTCCTCCTTCATCGAGCACTGGAGCACGGGACAACAGCGCTGTGTGACCAGAAGGCTCTGTGGGAAGCGTCCTAAGGTTCTCTACAGAGTAACCAGCCACTGGCTGGAGATCAACTTCCATCTCTTCTTGAGCCATTTCTGCAAAGAGTTGAAGAAAACAACTAGTATTTGCAAGCATTTGCCCTACTTCTAGCCTGACAGTGGCAAGAATCAGGGACAGCAGTCAGTGATTACAAAAGCCTCGAAAGAAAATTTGTCCCTTTGCGGTAGAGCTAAACCATCTAAAGCTGATACACATACGTGAGCTGGCATAGCAGGCAGCACCCTCCCAGAGTCCCAGACTCAAAATCTTTGGCTCAACAGCAGCTAGCACCAAAGGCACATCACAAAATCGACTTAAGTCAGCCTTTGGATGAATAAGGTAAGTTAAAGATTTCTTGCTGGCATCATTTACTTGCCAGTAAATTCATGTGGATCTTGGAGAACAGTTTGGGAATATTCTAGAGATTCTCTGTGGCAAGCAGCGTTGCACAAACACCCACAAATACATCCAGAAACAAGCTCTACAATGCAGTCCTTTGTTGGTGACATTGCTCTAAGGAGGTGGGTTTATTTTCAAGTTTCTTTGAATAAAATTCCATTATGATAACAGACCACTGTGACCCTTATCCACAGCTCACTTAACAGGCCTTTCAGGTACTTTATATTTACCAACACCACAGAAACCCAGAAAGTGTATCACAGCAGAACCGACCACAGACATTATTGGTAGCAGGTTACCTACAGCATCTCAGCATTCGTGGATTCATATTCAGCCTGAGACTAAATAAACACACAATTTGCAGTAAAACCTCACGTATATTATTTAACAATGGCTGCCCTGCAAACATCTTCGGGACAAAGATTTCAGGTTACCTCCTAAATAGAAATACTACCTTGGGTTTTGAAGAAAACCAGAGACAACAGTCTGTGCATTGCTAATTATTATGCAGCTGTCAGCCACCTAATTAGAGCACTTTAGTCACCCTGTTCTACAGGCAGTCTTACAACACAAAAAAGTTCGAGATTATTTCATTAATTGAATAAATAGGCACACCATGAAAAAAAAGTCCTGTTTTGGAGGGTGTGTGTGGATTAAATTCTGTGAGCTGCCAAAGGTCATTCACATTCTCAAAAAATCCTTAGGCAATCATAAACGTGAAAGGCCTTGGCAATTGTAGACCTTTAGCATTACTTAAGAGCCCAAAGCACACACCAAAACTTATTAGGCTAGGTGCTGTGCAGAACAAAGGCTGCTTCTAGTACAAAAAATAACTAGAAAATGTATACAAGACTTGCTAGAGGGGGGATGTACTAATGCTCAAATATTTTTATAGATCTTTTAAGAAATTCTAACTTACGAATCATGTTATAATTCTTATCCTAATTAGCGATTCAGCCTAAGTTAGGCCAAAAATAGATGTTAAATGCCACCTCCCACCAGAACAGTCATACAGTCAAGATACAATAATATTCAGTGATCCAAGTACTGCTTCTCCAGCACTAAACTCGCGTTCATAATAAAATTGCCACCTATAAGCATGACAGAGCCTTTATCTTCCCCATCAACTAACTGTGAGACTTAAAAATACTGCCTACATTCACCACTGTGGGTTAAGTAACCCTGCATATTTCTTAATTTAAAAAAAAAAAAGAAAAAGACATTAATACTGGCACCTTGGAGTCTCCCTGAAAGGGGCAAAGGCCAGTGCTTCTGCAACACAGCCAGCTGCCGTCGATGGAGGAGCCCGCAGACAGAAAATCTCTGTAAACAAGCATCCTAGGCCCAGATGAGAAAAATCGGAGTGCTTTGAGATGGCTGAGTCAGCAGCTCAGCAGGCAGCTTCACAGAAGGCTCCTCACTACTAACCACAAGGCTCAACGCTGAAGCACAAGCTTGCCCTTATGGAAGGCCTCCTCCTACTCGCCACGCAGCACCTGGCACTGCTCACACAAACCCAGGCCCCTCTCTACATCTCCAGCAGTTATAACGCTGCACCTGCTTTAACGTAAAGTTAACCAAAAAAAGCCCGAACACCACCCAAAATTAAGCACACGCTCCACAAGCACGGGTTTATTTCTGGCTTTTTACAGGGCTCGCTTGTTTTAACTAAGAACCAGTCACGTAAACGGCGCGGGAGGGGGAATATTTCTCTTCTAGCAGTCGCAGGCACCCCAAGCACTCGGGACGCCATCCCCGACCTCCCCACAGGGGCCTCGCAGCCCCTCAGGCCGGGGCCCGCCATCACCCAGGCCTCCCGCCCGGCCCCGGAGAAGCCAGGCCGCGGCAGGACCCCGCGCTCCTCCCCGGCGGCCGGCCGCGGAGGCCCAGCCGCACCCGCGGTGCTCGGGGGAGGCCGGGCCTGGCCTGGGGTCCCGTCCCAGCGGCCCGGTCCCCGGCACCCACCGCTCACCTGCCCAACGGCCCCGCTCGAGCTCCGCGCCGCCCCGCCCCCACCACCCTACTGGCCGGCCGCGACCTTTGCGCCCGCTTCTATTGGGTGAGCCGGGGCCAGGTCCGCCTTCTCATTGGCCAGCCGCTCTGTCCGTCTGTCTGACGGACGGGAGCGTGACGGGGCGAGGGGAGGGGAGACAGGCCCTGCTCTGATTGGCCAGAGAGCCTTAGGGAGGGCCCGGCTTATTGGTCGCGGGGGGCGGGGCAAGCGCGGGGGAGCGAGTTTCCATTGGGGGAGCCGCCGGTGGGACGAAAAGAGCGGGAGCTCGAGCGGATTCAAACAGGGGTCGAGGTGGGCGGAGCGTTGCCATGGCGGCGGGGCCGGTCGTGCCCGGAGAGAGCCGTGAGGGAGCCGGGCCCCAGCGCTGCGGTGGGGGTGAGGAGAAGCCGGCCCTGTCGCGTCCTTCTGGTCCCCCGGCTGCCGTGGTTCCTGCCGGCCTCCCCTTGAGTTCCCGGCGGGGCAGAACCTGTAGCAGGGCGTCCTCGCCTGCCAGCTGCCCCTGAGGCGAATGAACCCAGGCACGGCCCCTCGGAGAGGTGAAGGTCTCGGCATACAGAAACAAATACAGGCGTATTGAACGATCGGTCTCTGCGAGGCGGGGAAGAGGGGCGAGCGGCACGCTTTGGCCTGCAGGAGGAGGGCCTGCTGCTTTCTCTTGGCTTGTCTTCCGAGGCGCCTGGCTGCTTTTGGTCACCCCACCCTGTTTTCTGCAGTTAACTTCCTTGGTTTCTGCTTTTCTCCAGGTCAGCCAGTGAGTCCACAATCTCTGCAAAACATAAGGATGGCATTAATCAAAACAGAATATTTGTTGTAGGCTATTTCCCCCCACACCCCCCACGATGAGAAGATAGCTTTCCCTCACAGGTAACAACTGGGACATGGAGTCACTCTTTCCTCAGGCCAGTGTGACTGGGCAGCCATTAGCAGGGGACAGGCCTGAGCAGACACAGGTGAGTACAGCCCAAAGAGAAGCAGCCATGTATACAGAGAGACACTTGGAAACAGCCACGAGAAGATGTTCTTCCAGCTCAGCACCATGCAGGCACGGCTGGGCGTTGGATTAGAGTAATAAAGAGAAGTTGTATCCTCAATGCAGCTTTGCCAATGTCTCTGATGATTTTTTTGGTGTCTTCATTTCAGCCGGGGTGGTTCCCTGCAGCAGGGTCTGCTGAGGGAGCTGCCATTGGGAGACAGAGACGCACAGAGTGCAGCCCACAGTGGTTTCTTATGCACATTTTCCACATCTCTTGTATGGACACTGGCCCCATGGGGTGTAGCTGATGAGATTGAAGGAAGCTTTCTCTCCTTGGAGAGATGAACTGAGGGAAGGGTACAACCTCTGTGCCTTCAAGCACACCAGAAAGGTTCCTCTGTCTTTTCCTGCTGTTTCTGTTAAATCTTCTGATGGAGACCAGTTATTTATCTGATCAGACCCAGATCAACTTCAGAGACAGTGAAATCTTCCCTGCTGCAGAGCAGTTCCTGAGATTGCAATTTACTGCTCAAAGCCTAAGGCAGGAACTGTTCCTGCACCACATTGTGGCTGCTCCTCCAGCTTACGCAAAGCCAGACAAATTCATACGGAAAATAAGGGGCAAATTGACTGCTGAAGCAGCTGGTTGAAGGATACAAAGGGCCTGTGGAGCAGATGTCCAGGACACTTACCCTCAGCAGAAGGGCGTTGGGAAGGGTCAAAGGCCCGGCACTGGTCAATGACTTTCCGCAGGTCTTCAGGACAATCTTCACCAACAGGTGCCTGGTAATGGTGGTTGCAGATTTTCTCCATGATCTCCTGGGGAGCGCAGCCTAGACAACATGCATGCAAACAGGACTGTCAGGATGAGCTCTGCTGCCACAGGAGGGTGCTGGGGAGGAAACCCAGTGCAAAGCCATGCCAAGAGCCTTCCTGCAGCCTATGGCATGGAGAAGCCAGCAGAGAAGCCACCCAAACTGTGTCTGCAGTGACACCCCACCCCCCCCCGCCATGTCTGGCATGATGCCATTGGGCTCCAGTGGAGCAAGGAGAAGTGTTTATGCTTCAATGCACAGGAACATCAAATAGAGACAAAAATTATTTGCATGTTTGTGGTTTAAGCATGTTGCCAAACTGCTTTACTGTATTGGAGTCCCATGAGAAGCAATGAAGCTGTCTTGCAGAGCCAGATACACCAGGCACTGCCACTGGGACTCGCACACCATGGGATGCTCCAGGAAGGAGCAGGGAGCATCCAACACCGGACAACAGCCACACTGGGCCGTGTGGCTTTTACACAGGGGACCAGATGCTTCTGCCTCACCTTCAAATGGGATTTTGGAGGTCGCAATCTCCCACAGCACAATCCCGAAGCTGGAAGGAGACAAGCAAGAGTCTCAGCATTCATCCCACCATGTTGTCCTCCCTTCTAACAGTGGAGACTCCTGGGCTATGCCAACTGCAAACAGCTGCTTATGTGTACGATTAAACCTGGCCTTCTTCCATAGCTCAACAGCTATTCTGCTAGACATCTGCCCACTTACGGGCATCTCTCCTGGGAGGGACAGACACACCTGTATATTTCACAGGGCCTCTTGTAGGGGTAGTTGATGTCTTTCAGGTTCTCAGGGGCGATGTAAGCCAACATAGAAACTTGTTTCCAGTTCTTCTTGGCTCTCCTCTTGATGGATGACTCTGTTTCACACAGCTCAAATCCCGACAGCTGATTGAGAGAATGAGAGAGAGAAAGGGAGAAGTGGTAGAAACACAGTCTGCAGAAACCTGTGGCGTGGCTGGGGACTGCCCTGAGACGGAGAAAACAGAGCAAGGTGCCCTGGGCAGCAAAGGCTGGCATGCAGCCATGTGTGCTGCCCGGCACGTGGCTCTTTCTGCAAGCAAAACCACAGGTGGAGGCAGGTGAATTGCCCTAGCTTCAGCTCATCCCAGGGTGGATGGCTCAGAGATGCTCACTTTGCTGATGATAAATGAGGTATAAGTGTCTAAGGTGAAAGGGGACACTGCTCTACCCTGGGTTTTATTCTGGACCATCATAATTCCCTTCAGTGCTGGTGGGGGGAGACATCCACAAAAACATGCAAAACTCCCCAAAGCTTCTCCAAACATGGTCCTTACCTTCACACAGTAATCCCCGGCCACCAGGAACTTGCTACTGCAGATGCATCCATGGAGTCGGGACTTCTCCTCTGTCTGGTGCAACCTGCAGCCAGACAGAACCAAGGGCAACACATGCTGGTGATGGACCCATCCCCACCTCGGGGCTCCCTCCTGCTGTGTAGGGGATGGACTGACATGCACCCAGAGAAGCCAGCATCTCTGCTGTCTTGCTGGACCAACCCTGCCAAGCCAACCTTTCCAGCACGTGCTGAAAGAGCCACTGTGGGCAAAATAACGAGCCTTGCAGATGAGCAGCACCTGTAAGAACTGGCCATGCTGTAAGCTGCCCTATGGGTGTGGGGAAGGGGGGGTTCTCCCTTCCAGGCCTTTTCAGGCTTGAAGCCAGATGTAGGGGCCAGTGACCAGGGGAGGTGGGTGCTACTGCATCCAAACCCACCACCTACCTCTTCACCAGCTTCCCATCCCAGTGTCCCAAGGTGGTGGAAACAGTCTAACAGGATATCACTGCTTACTGAGAGATACCAGGAAGCTGAGCATGGCTTATGGATCGTCAGGTAGACTTACTGATTTATACAGGAGCTTACCTGTAAAGGCCTCTGGCAGCTCCCAGGGCCATCCGAATGCGGACCTCCCAGGAGAGATGCTGTTGCTTGGTCAGCACATCCC